TCGCACCGGCTAGTCTGGTGCGCGTTGCTATTTATTACCGATGCTACTGATAAGCCATCAGATACAGGTGGCGATACTGATTCAGCTCTCAACTTTCGATATTGTTACTGATTGAACCACTAACTTGTGCTTTCATTGCCGGGTCCAGTGGGGGGAGGAGGTAGTCCCCTTTCCCGCTTTTCTCGCCCAGCGGCACAGGTAGAAGCTGTTTTACTGTAGAAGACTCTGTTCGGTATCCTCTTTCTCCCTTCCCTCCGCCCCCACCTCTTCCACGCCCAGGAGCCCCCACGTTCTCTTTCCTCCTCTCTCAAGAAACCGCCCTGGATCCGCCTATGCGTACTTTGCACTGATTAATTCGATCGCGGAAATTACATTTACTTCTTTCGATGGGACTTTGTGACGTTTTATTAGTTTGCTGAATCGCAAGAAGGTTTTTTTCTTTTCGATTTTACAGATTTGTCGGATGGATGATACGAAAAAGCGACGACAAAAAGCGGAAACAAAACGGGCCGAAAGGAAGCATGCTTGTCCAAATTGTGCGGCGAGATTTCCGTTCCCAAACAAACTGAGACTACACATCAAATCACATCATTCGTGTAAGTCTACGAATTATTCATGGTATGCTTGTATTTTGTTACTTCATTCATCATCATGAAAGAAGTTGCTTTACAGTTTTTTGAATACAAAAATGTTCATTGCTACATCAAAATATGAGTTTATGACTAATAAAGTTCTTTTAATTTACATTCAAATGTGTGGGCATTATTTTTTAGCTATACCTTATTATTCGCTGTAGTTTTTGGACATTTAAGGGAATTCCGCTATGATTTGCAGTGGAATATCAATGTGGTACCTCGATATTTGGAAGATGTCAATTTTGCATTGCAACACTTAAAAATTGTAATAAAATTATGATAGCGAAAGAAATCATGATAAAATTATAATAAAAAATCGTGATTGCACCTGTAATTTACTAATGACGTCTCACGGTTCCGTTTAATTTATAGTCAAATTTGTAGACATTATTTTTTGGCTATATCTTATTATTCGCTGTAGTTTCTCGACATTTAAGGGAATTCCGCTATGATTTGCAATGGAATATCAATGTTGTACCTCGATATTTGGAAGATGTCAATGTTTTGCGCCACAACACTTAAAAAATGTAGTAAAATTATGATAGCGAAAGAAATCATGATCAAATTGTAATAAAAAATCATGATTGCACCTGTAATTTACTAATGACATCTCACGGTTCCATTTAATTTATAGTCAAATTTGTAGACATTATTTTTTAGCTATACCTTATTATTCGCTGTAGTTTTTTACATTTAAAGGAATTCGCTATGATTTGCAGTGAAATATCAATGTGGTACCTCGATATTTGGCAAATGTCAATGTTTTGCATCACAGCACTTAATAAATGGCCAACGCACGGGCTGCCCGTGCGAAGATGCGTTTTTTGCAGAGCTCCCCGCAG